TTTAGCTTTCTTTAGCTTCTCTAGCTAGCTTTAGCTTTCTCTAGCTTTAATTTAGCTTAATCAACACAGTTCTAATGCAAACAATGCCTTTCGTAGCACAATGTTACAATCAAGAATCCCCATTAAACGGATCACCATTTACACATTGATTGTCACATTGTTCTACCGCATGTCAGGTATTTGAAAGAAGAACTAAGTGTGAACTAAGTAAAGAATCTTGTTTAATCAATGAATATCTTTAGATTCCCTACTGGTTACCGCAAATCTACTTGATCTTTGCGAAAATCTTTCATCTTTCTCTCAGTCCTGACTTCATCAAGATCACCTATGTGGCGCATATGTTTCCCTTTTTGGCCGCGGCGTTCAATTGGATTTTCTATGCCCAACTGAATAGTCACTTCAAAAGGGACTCATTTTGGTCACCGAACGAATGCACAGGAAAATGACAAGGTTCGATTTACAAGCTGGACCAAGCCATAGACCAAGCCCAAGCCGACAGGAGAATTGAAAACATGATAGTTACCCAGCGCAATTACAAATTGACCACTGATAACTCTACAAAACTTACCACCGAAATTTTCTACCGTTCTCCGTTTACTGTACCTGGGATGACCACCGTACTTCCTAGTTCACCTTAAATGTAAATCAGTGAGCCTGTTGATTTGGTCAGATTTGGGATCAATAAACCTAGTGATCCGATGAATAAAGTAAAGGAGCAGAAGCTTTTCTGTGTCCCATTCTTACTGCATCTCTCATTCCCTGCTCGTCTGACATTTCCATTCCCCTATAGTTCCACTGAAAGTCCATAAAATTCATGCTTAAACTTAGGCTTAGGCTTAGGCATAGACTCAGGCTTAGGCTTGTGATCCTGGCCTGTATCCTTGAACAAAGTCTACAACAAGCAGAATGCAGTTGATAAACTTGAATAATCGGTATTTATTCCAGAACGGGTAGAAAGCGAGTAGCTGACACGATGAGACGAGTTGTGTATCGAGATAATGTCGAGGAGTGAGGGGAGGCCTGAATTGTGTTCGTCTAAACTGTGAGCAGCCGCTGTCGATCAAGGTGGCAAATGGAACAGTTAGATACATACAGAAGAAGAATCTCTCTCATACCTTCAGTACTTTTCTTCAGGTTCAAAAGATCAGCACCTCAGTGAACTGAATAACGCAAGCTGCCGTGTAAATATCGTTAAATATCGCTAATTTTCGTTTTTTCTTTCTTTTTCGAATTGCCTTGCTTTTATGTTGATTTTTGAGGTTTCTCTTCTATTTTTGATCTTTCTTCACTAGTTTGATCTGCAATTTTAGTAAATATAAGTAAATTAGTAAATAGAAAAAACAGCGAGTTCGAAATAAATACCTTTTATTCACGAATCATTTGAAAAACCCAGAGAAAAACTAAATGGAGAGGTGTGCTTTGTGTTTGTAAATGGAAGCGCATTCTTTCTAGAGCACTTGACCCTTTTCAATGTTGATTTTGATTGAAAAACAAAGTATCCCTTAAATTTCCCTTAAAATCAGTCAAAATTGCGGAAATAAACTCCATAAACTATAAATAAACTCTCCGTATGCCTCGATCTCGATACACAACTCGTGTCAGCTACTCGCTTTGTACCCGTTCTGGAATAAATACCGATTATTCAAGTTCATCAACTGCATTCTGCTTGTTGTAGACTTTGTTCAAGGATAGGCCAGGATCACAAAAAAATAATGAGTAAGAGATACAAATACATAGTGCTCACATTGTACTGTTGTACAGTAACTTGTAACTAGCTGACCAATATTTATTTGCTCCTTTATATATTTGTTCGTTTTTTTGTCATTTCAATAAATTTTTCACAAAACCAAAGTAATAAATCAATGACAGAATAAAAAATGAAAACGATGATTATAACGATCGAGCCAGCTTCGGTGACATAGCAGACTGATGGGAAGTCCAGTTTCATGTACTCGGTATTGCCAAACTCTTAGTCTTGCCTGCAAAAGATTGAAAATTTAAAATGAACAAGGTACTACGCCTGTTGTTGGGGGGCACTTTTTCCTCAAATCCACTCTTTCTGGAGTATTTTTATGCCTAGATCCCGAAAAACAGGACGAGAGCGGGGAAACGGCGTTTTAAGCCAAATTTCGGGGCTCCTGAAGGTGCATGATCCTGCGTTTGTTTTAGAGAACGTTTTTCCGCAAAAAATTCCTACTCATCGAGTACACAGATCTATTGATTGGTGAAATGAAAAAAATTTCAATCTTTTGCAGGCAAGACCAAGAGTTTGGCAATGCCGAGTACATGAAACTGGACTTCCCATCAGTATACTGTGTCACCGAAGCTGGCTCGATCGTTATAATCATCGTTTTCATTTTTTATTCTGTCATTGATTTATTACCTTGGTTTTGTGAAAAATTCCATTGAAATGACAAAAAACGAACAATTAAATAAAGGAGCAAATAAATATTGGTCAGCTAGTTGTTACTGTACAACAGAAGTTATATGTATATGTATGTGAGTTCATATGTGAGCACTATGTATTTGTATCTCTTACTCATTATTTTTTTAAAGTTTTCTTCAAACAAACGTTGTTTTCTCTCCAACGTGATATAAAAAATGCAAAATCACAAGTAAATTCTTAGAAAAGAAAAGGAAAAAAAAAAAAACGTTGGGACGAATTTTTCTGAAATTTCGCCATAGCTTTAAATTTTTATGCTCTATCTTTTTCTATTGACACCAAAATAGGTTTCCTTGAGAAGAAAGGGATCAAATCGCATCGTTTCTATTAATTTGACAATTTTCCTTTTGCCTCTTGAAATGGCTCAAAGTAAGCGCTTTTAAAACACTTGAGAATCATTTTGTAAAAAAGATAGGGTTTTTCAACCGACACTTAGCAAAAACGATCAGTGAGCTGTGCTTCTTCTCGGAGAATGTGCTTCTTCTCGAGTCTCGGGAGGCCTTTGCGAAAAGGAAGATTTTTAACAACTTTTCCTTGCCAATTCCTTCATTTTATTCGGCTCATTGATAGTCAATAAGGCTAAGATAAACTTGATCAAACTTAATGCAACTCCCGCTGTTAATCGGTTGATAATCAAAGTTCATCTACACTTTATTCATCTCCAATTTCTAGGCGCTGAGGTCCCGAGATTCCATGTGATTCGCTCTACAGATGCCCATCAACCGAGCAAACCCCGTCACATCAGTATTCAGTAAGCTTAACAAGGAGACCATTTGATTGATGATTTTAAGGAAACAAGTTGGGAATGTGAAGGATTTTGTTTGAATTCGGTTTAGAACTGGCTGTCAATTGGAGCACATCGTCGGGGTTTTCCGTGAATACGGATGTGACGGGATTTGCTCGGTTGATGGGCATCTGTAGAGCGAATCCCATGGAATCTCGGGACCTCAGCGCCTAGAAATTGGAGATGAATAAAGTGAGATGAACTTTGATTATCAACCGATTAACAGCTGGAGTTGCATAAATAGAAAAATATTATACACTTTTCTATCTTTTTTATGCCAATCTGGGCCCATTTCTAAGAGAATCCGAGCGCAAAAACTCGTTTTTGCTAAAATTTGATAAAGTGATATAAATTGGCTAAAAATAGGAATTGGCTGAACAGATTGTTCTGGAAAATTTGGCTATAAATCTAACTTTTTGCGCTCTTTTTTCTATTGGCATCAAAATAGATTTCTTTGGACGAAAGTGTCTGAATCGCGCTATCGAGTCCTCGCTCTGGCCAAGTTCACACCTCAGAACAAAAAAAAACCAGAAACAAAACATTTCTTAAGATTTCAACAATATTTTATAGAAAAATATCAAGCCTTTCTTATGGAGCAAATCGTGAAGTAAAAAGTGAATTGTTTCTTTCTAAATAGCTTTTTAAATGGTGTCTAAAAGACTTATCGGCCAACTTAATACAATAAAGTCTGCAAAAAATGAAGTACTGTCTCGAGAATATCAAAACGTTTCAGCGAGTTGCACTCTACTAACTCATGACGATTCCGACTGGAGCGCAGGCATGGAATTCTATCTCAGGGTCAACTACACATGCGGAGAATCGGTAAATGAGTTGAAAATTTTGGATCTATTTAAATTTGAGTTTAGAAATCCTAGTAATCGGCACAATCAGCAGAAAAAACAAATTTTATTTTCTTCTTTTAGGGAGAGCAAAGAGCGTGTTACTATTTTGTTTCGACTCCAAATGATCGCTCTTTCTACAGCAAAGTGAAACTGAGTTTGGGAGATCCGCTTGACCAGCAGTCTTCGAGCAATGTGTAAGTTCTGTTTTGGATTCTCAACCCAGACAGAAAAGCACTTGGATCAGATCAGATCTTATTAAATTCGGATCAAAAAGGACTCGGATCGGAATTGAATTGAATTGAAAGATGAATAAGACCGGATGAAATCCGAATTGAATAACTTCTGCTTTGTTCTGATTCAATTCATCTTATTTATAAACGTTTCTGGTGAAAATTTACATTTGATTGCTTGAGATTACGTGGAAAAATCCACAGCAACAAATGATTATTTGAAATTTTGCTAAAGAAATCAAGTTGAAGGCTCCTCATTGTTAGATAAAGAAAAACTGTCTACCACCCAGTTGGTACTCTATCAAATCTTTTTCCTTTTCAAAACCTTTTCTTTCAGCCAATTCTACACGGTCGATAAATGTGAACATTCGAACGGACGACGACGCATGAAGAAGCTTTAATTTTTTCTAATAAATTTATTGCACTGAGGTTAATATCACAGACAACTTTTTATAACAATAGACGTAATTTCCGTAATTACGTACCGGATACTGGGGTGGTGAATTGAAAACTGCCGGACTTTGAAGTAGAATTTATTCAATAATATAATATAATTTAAATAATTAAGGTATAATTTAAATCTAAAAAGAATATCTAGCCTAAATATCTAATGTCTATGCTTTATATTCAAGACTTTATGACTAAAAATCTCTTCAGAAAACTGCTTTAAAGCTGCTTTATTATTATCGATAAATTCTTAATAACATCTGTGAAAGATTACCTTCGATCTACTGGAGTACACTTGGCCCCATTGTGACAATTGCAAATGGGCATGCACTCTCGCCCGTAACGGCCTGCGGGGAAACCTAAAGAGAAATTGTTGAATTATGACAATAACAGATTTTCAAAAAAGCACCCAAGTCAAGTCGTTTCGTTCCTGTTTGTTTTCATAGCAAGCATAAGCAATCTTCTAACTCTTGTAGGCTGATTTAAATTAAACCAGACGCAGACCAGGATATCAGAAGCGTTCTTAATAAATTCTTGATTCTTATATACTAGTAAATCTCGTCACAAAGGCTCTCCCGGAAACAAACTGTAAGCAGCTAGCTGGTAGTGGTAGACATAAAGATAGATAAAGGATATGATTTGTTTGTTAAATCATATTTCTTCTCACCTGATCGCGTTGATGTATCATTGCTAGACCGAGATGTTGTGGTTCCATTCTTTGTGTTCGCTCGTTAATTTCTCTTCTTGGACCAATTTCATTGAATCTTGACCTTAATAGCGTAAGCTTGGTCAATCTGACAAAATTCGACTAACGTTTAAAAATACTTTGAATTTTTAATTCAATTTTAGATCAATTCAATTAAGGACTCAAAGAAGAAATGGGAATATTCCTTGCGTGCAAGGAATGTTCCCATTCATCCTTTGATTTCTTAAGGATGAATGGGAACATTCCTGGCACGAATGGAAAATTGAATGGAAAATGGGAAATTGAGCAATTTTGAAAAATAGGTAAAGAGAGCAGATTTTGAAAGTGACAAATGAAGAGAATGAATGATCTTTTCTTTGATATCGCTACCGATTGATACATTATTTGACATCTGCTTGCCCAGGGGGAGGAGACGAGGCTATTTCTGCCAAAGGCTCTGCCAATAGTTCACAATAATTGAATGGAAATTGGAAATTGAGCAATTTTGAATTATTGATTGGGTTTGTTGGCAGAAAAAATACGTGCGACCAAATGTTGACCTCGTCAAGCATACGGCGATTACATTAAGATTACATTAAGAAAAGACGCTTCCGAGTAAGGCCCTTCAGTAAATCATGTATTTCTATATCTTTCTATCTTTCTATCTTTAGTTGTTCACTGTGAACCACAAAAGGCGCCTGGTTGTCAACTGTGAACTAATGGCGCATAGGTGTCCACTGTGAACAATAATAACGCCTAGATGTCAACTGTGAAAAGCAAAGGCGCCTAGTTGTCAACTATGAGCAAGCAAGCAAGATGAACGACAATCGCCCCTAGAAGTCAACTGTGAACAAATGGCGCCCAGTCCCTGTAAACAACAATTTCGCCAAGATTTCAACTGTGAACAAGACTCGCCCTATTTTCCATATCTTTCTAATCGAATTTCGAATAGAAAGATATGGAAGGATTTTAATTCGATTTTCTATCTTTCTACCTTTCCATCCCTTTCCAATCGATTCCGTATCTTTCTAAGTGTCGAAAAATTGCTTGTTGTTTTATCTTAAAACTCCAGCTTTCCATAAATCCGACCGCTTTTAAAAAGCCCCTTTAAAGCTCCTTTATAGTCCCTATTTAGCTCCTGTAAAGCTTCTCTAAAGCTCCTATAAATCTACTTCAAAGCTCCTTTCTAGAGCCTCCTAGTTAGAACTGTGAACAAAAAGCGCGGCTAAAACTTTTAAAATGCAAGACACGAGTACTCCAGGCTTAGCTTGAATAACTATGCAAAAAGATCGCGATCTTATGCTACTTTTTCTGAACCTTAGAAAATTTGAGATAATTCTCATTATTTTGATCCATTTCTCCAGATCTCATAACTAATTATGAACACAAGTTTTTTGAATGTAAATAGCGCAGAGCTTTTACCTGAAAGAGCCTGCAAAACCGGAGACCTAAAACCGGAGATCTTTAGGATTTAATGTAAACTGGGAGTGTTGCGTGTCTAGCTGATCCTAATGGTGGATACTACGACAGTGGAGCCGCTTTCTGCAACCGAAAAATCAGAATATCTTTTCGGTGCTAGGCACAAGCATTGTGTCTTTTGTTATAAACTGAATTGAAAGGTTTTCTGGACAAAAGATAAAACCGCAATCAAATTTTTGGTGCCCAGTGCTCAACTCATTCTCTGGACCAACAATTGGTCCAATATTTGGCTTATCAAGAGAATCGCCAAGAAGGGTAATTATAAAATTACAAATTGAACTCAGTGAAGTAATCAATCAATTATTAATCTTAAAAGTCCAAGGCTTGTTTCTTCAAAAAATTTAAGAAAATCCAATGAAGAATGAAGAAAGTTGATGACTCAAAAGCAGAAGATTGCAAAGGGAGCGTGACATTTTTTCATCGAATTCATTTTATTTGGCAGCGGCTTAGCAAATGACGGTTTTTGTCTCTTTATTGAGCCACTCGCAAAGTTTCGGAGTGATCGGAGTCGCCCTCGCTGAAAATGAAGGGAATTTTTAGGCCACTAGAAAATAACTGTATCCAAGGCTGGACGAGTCGCTCATGATTCCCACTTGGTACCAAAGCTGACCGAATTTTGCTACAAGCGGGCCACCGGAATCTCCCTAAAAGCAATGTTGAAAGCTCAAAGGATATTTGCCTTAGTCGTGGCTTTTCCGCGACCGCAGAAGGTGTCTTGTTCATCAAGACATTCGGCACGTAAAATGGCTTCTTGAACTTTGGCTTTTTCTCCTGAACTAAATATTAGATGCGAATGAAAGAGTTTCTTAGGGTCAATGATTAACATCTCTAAAATTCTCCTTAATGCTTTGCATCGCTAGACAACTTTTGAATTTTACCGTCTCCCATTCCAAAAGCGAGCATCGGCTCTTTCAGTGTCAAGCCCCTGGCTTCGAGGCATACTCGCTTTCCAAGATCATCACTGGTGTCAATATCCGTTTCCAGCTAGATAACATAAGGTTTTTTCACTACTAATATCTAAGGTCCACCTCTAAGAGAGCGACGTCACCGTGATCCCAAACACGAGCAGTCTGGCTTTGAGCTTGTACCTGATTACTTGTTTACTGGCTGAGACATTGTCATACCTCAAATTTATTGCCTGGCCTGAACCTGTAGCTCAAATAGTAATACCATCGGACATTTTTTCGGACGCAGCTTGCCGCCGTCAGAACCCATTTTGGGGCAATATAGGATCCGCCGCAATTGGTCTTCAGATTAGTTGTCCTTAAATCTTTCCTTCTCATAATCTCTTCCTGAAAATCTTCTGGTCACTTACTGAAGAGATATGAAATCTTACTGTTCATTAATCGTTAAAACTGCAAATTAGACCTGCAATGCCTCATTCGGACTCAGAATTTATGGGGGAAACTTATGGAACACCTATCGAGGAAAGAACTTACTCATCCACATGTTCCACGCGAACAAAATAGGGGTAGCTTGAATCTTTAGAATCCACTCCTTGATGAATCTTAAGATTTCTTGGGCCAAAGTTCTAAATTTCAAAGGTTTGTTTAAAAATGTTTCATAAACTTATCACTTGAAAGTGCTTTGTGTTAAGTTTATTATTTGTGCAAGCTGACATACCCAAGAAGTTGGGTCCACGCTCGTTTTGCCGCAGTCAAACTCTGGAAAAGGAAAAATCGATCTAATAGGCTATGCTTTACTACCCCTTTTGGGTCCTTGGCTCTTGTTTATTCCAAGTGTTTGGATTAAATCTCGCGCCCTAGGGCAAAATCCGTCAATGCCGTTGGCTTCGTGATAGTAAAAAACATTTTCAAATAGAACTGTGTTATTGGGTCGAGAATCATCAACGATACCGGTCGTTCCAAAGTTCCCGAGTTGCCTTAAAATTTTTGCGGTTAAAATTACCGTAGCTCTAAGCAGAAAATCCTTAGCTCTAATCAGAAAATCCTACCCGTTTTTAGCAAAAAAGAGCAAAACTTTTTGGTAGCCCGGAGATTCCCTTCCGATTTTATTCAAATCTCCAAAGAGCCACGGAAGCTCATCTGAATGCGATGCGTCTAAACACATGTTAACTAATTGCCGACCGTCAAATTATTTGACATTTCAAAAAATTAAAAACGCACGCTGATTTTGATTCCAAGATGGGGCCGCCAAAGTCGCGTTATAGGTGTAAACAAAAAGCGAAGGAGGCACCCTAGCACTTCTCAGTTTTTCGACTTCGGTGACTATGGGAACATGAAACACAAGGTCGGTCATTGACTAAATTGGATAAACATATTCCAAACTAGACTGCGTTACGTTGACCACGACTTCAAACCAAAACCATTGTTCGGCTGTGATCGCTGTTTCGTTAGTCGTTGCTCTCGTCGAATACAGCTTCGGGTCGTATTTTTGAGTGTAAAAATTCTCCAAAGTATTAAGCCGTTTGTCGGAAATTCCCATGTAAGTGGTGATGGTTTTGCGAAATCTAGCGCCAGAGTAGTCCGTCTTGCCCATGTACTTTGCAAACAGATTTTCTAAATGATTTGGAAAAATTTCTTGGAAGCGACAGACCAAAAAACGCCCATTCGCCGGTGGTGAGGCCAATCAAAAAGTCATGTCCACGGCTTGATCTATCCATTGATTGGTGACCAGATTTGGGAAAGTAATACCCATCGGCAAACAAAACCCAATTTTTTTCCTGCTTCTGGAAAACGAGTAAAATCTTTCTCTAAAGTCTCGAAACGAGCTGGGTCAAGAGAATGCTAACGGGTAAACGAATCTAACCAGATCGATTTGCTCTAGCGCCTCCAGAGGGGCATTTGCAAGGCATCTGTAAAGAAGCTCCTCAAAGTGCTTGTCGTAGGGGTCGTACAAGTTGGCGTTGCAAAGCTAAATGTGAGATTTTTCGCAACAAGGACGAAGGCACTTCTTGAGCCGCAGTGGCACTTGGGGACGCCGGACTTCCAGTCCCGTTAAAGCAAATTTCCAAAACACCTGACATCAGTATTACTCGCTTGAAAAGTGCTAAAGCTGCCTTTTTATTTAAAAAAAGTAAATGTGCCTTTTTCCACCGCAGGTGAGATAGCCAGCGCATGAGCAGAGCATGCCCCAGCCGAGTGTCCAATCAATGTAATTTGGCTTGAATCCCCACCAAACCTAAATTTTTCGTTAGTTGTCCTTTTTTCTAAATCACTCATGAATATTTTTGGAGATAAATTTAATTGCCAAATGCGTGTCATCGAGTCCAAGATTTGCATGAAACTTCGAGGATGGAAAATGCGGGTAGAAAAAGCCTAAACGTTTTTGCATTTAAACATTTTTTGCATTTGTAAATGTTCTTACCCAGGACTGACAGTCGGTATTGCACCGTAACCACTATAACTTGGTCATGGTTCGATAAATTTCCCAAGTTTTCCACGGTAAATTCGTTTCCACTTCCAAATTTATAGGCGCCTCCGTGGATGTAGACAATGACGGGAAGCAGCGAAGAGGCGGGAGGCGGCTAAATCTCTTGTTTTTTTTCTAAGTTCAATCAGACATTGGTCGGTCCAAAAATGTTTAAAAAAAGACAATCCTCGCTTGTTTCAAGGCCGGGCATCACTGTAATCTGATTTTTAGCTGGCCAAACCAAAAACAAACATTTTGCTTGAGGACACGCCTTTGCTGGTTTGTCCATGGCGTTTCCTTGCTCATCTTTCCAACCATTTGCCAAACTAGCTCGCTAAAAGTTTTGAGTAAAAACTCCATTCCTTCCTATAACCTGAAATCGTTTTGGCTGGTCGGCATAGCGAACCCCTAGTCGAGCAGAAATCCCGCCTTCCAGAAGACGCCCATCTGGCAAACCGGTAGCCACAACCCTCAATAACAGAGCGCAGAAGAGAGGACGCATCTACCCTAAAATTCCCTTAATAATTACCCATGCTCTACTTGTAAAAAAATAACAAAAGGCATATTTTTAAGAAGCGCTTTCGAAAAGAGAAAATGTTTTGAAAGTGACGATTTGAAAGTAGGAGGGGCTTTCTCCCCCATTAATTCTTTAGGCATCGTTTTTGGCTGCGCAAGAAATAAAAACTTCTAATTTTAAAAGTTTGAATTTGAGATCAAGGAGTTCCGAAGATAAAGTGAACATTATCTCAAAGCTCTAAAATTAACCTGCAATTTTATTTTTTTTATTTTTAGGCTCTAACAGCAAAATAATACATTGGGTCCGATGTTAAAAATCAACCGCAGGTCAAGCAAACAAACAAACCAGTGTGAAAAGAATTTTTTCGATTTTTGTTTTTACATTTCTTTTGGACAGATCTCTTCAGATGCATCTATCAGAAAAGATTTCATAGCCAAGCAACCGCTCTGGGCTTTATGCTTATGTCTATAAATACGTAATGAATCTCAACACGAGTCTATTGATTATGACCTAGCTTTTCAATATTTTGAATGCTGAAGTAAAATAGTGGCAGGATTTCTACCTGATGATGTTTCGAGTAAAAGGAAGAAAAACTATGGCGTGGACATTTGTTTGTTTCAATGTCTTATCATTCTTTAGCCCGAAAAGCCCGAAAACTTTCATTATTATTCTATTTTAGGACCATTGCTTCAGATCGAGCTTTCTTTTGTAAAAATATTAGTGTTAAGAATTAGTTTTGGATTTATGATAGATGTTAGGATAGATGTTTTGGGAAAGAAGTAGCCTCAACATTAATTCGCGACACTCTTTTCCTTTAAAAATAGTTCACAAAGAGAACGTCACTTCAAAGATTGATTTTAAGCCTAAAATAAAGTGTTGAGGTTTTTTTAAGCATCTGTTTATTGAATAGGAAAACTGTCTGATTTGCGGTAGTTTCGTGAATAGATGTCTTTTAGAGGATGTCTTTTAGCTTGACGCTTGCTCCCCAAGTGCCCTGGAAACAACTTCAAAACACACCGTATAAACATAGCGTAACAAATATTCGGCTAGAGGCTTTCGGTCTACAGTGCCCATTATCAAAAATTTTTGTTTTAAATTTATTTTAGACAGATGGGTACTATACATTCTATTTTAGGAGCAATGTCGTAAGATCAAACCCTAAAAGTGGAGGCGGCAAGCGCTTTTAGAACAGTCATCGAAAGATCGTCGAGAATTAATGTTGTTTGATGGCGGATTCTTAAAAATAAGACCTCAACGCTTTATTTCAGGCTTAAAATCAAATCTTTGAAGTGACGTTCTATTTTTGAACTATTTTTAAAGGAAAAGAGTGTCGCGAATTATTGTTGAGGCTACTTCGTTCCCAAAACTTCTGTCCTAACATCTATCGTAAATCCAAAACACTCCGATAAGTTTTAATGAAACAACGAACATTTTTTAATAAAGCATCAAAGAAGTTGGCCCCATTTTCAAAATAGCTTTGTATTAGAATCTGAATTAATTATGAAGACAATAAATTATTAACATTTTCATCTCTTCAGCGAAAAGTAATGAATCAGTAATCAATAAGAATTGCTGTTGACAAATTCAGAGGGTGTTCTTGACGAAAGTGTGATATCACTGAATCTCAAAAAGTCTCGCTGCATTTGACTTAATGATCCTTGACTCTGAAAATTTAGGTGGGGTTGTGTTTTGAAAGTTTAAAGTCTTGAAAGTTCGCTGAATCTCTTTACTTTGACTTTCTCGCTTTATTAAATGCGCATGCACTCTCGCCCGTAACGGCCTGCGGGGCAAACTAAAGAGAAATAGTTGAATTATAGTTTGCTTCAAATTATTATAAAACGACAAGCCTAACCTTCCGAGCAAATTGCTCCGTAATATCCAGGTGGACATTCACAAGTTCCATGGTTCCGATTTGGGACCCATTCAGGGCCGATTCGGGACAATTTTTTTCAGTATTGGTTAGTCTAGCCTATCAGTAGAAAGATTAGCTCAAAGATTTGCCAGACATTCTAAATAGTCGCTAAAACTTTGTGGAGCAGAACTCAACCAGCACAGACTTTGTTCATTTTATTCAAGTTTTATGATGTGGCAAATAAACAAAATATTGTAACTATTTGTAAATCTCATTGTTAAAAATAAACAATTCGCAATTGGAGATTACAATCATTACAATCATTATAATCATTAGAATCATTACAATCATTCAAATTCGTACAATCTAGTACAACCATTTTCCTACTCACCGTATAATAATCCCCCTCATACGCGGATCTCATCATCCCGAATGTCAACGCTTTTCTCACACTTGTACTGGGAGTTGCTGGATAGCAAGGCGACCGTTAATGCAATCAAATACAGTGAACATTTGGGAAAGGTGAATGAATCCCTGAAGAAGAATAGGCCCTCCAAGTCAAAGATCGTTCTTATCATATCATTTTTCTCTAGCTTTTGATACATGGCGATCTGTCATCCGGAAATGAAACGGGTAAAAATGAGGGAAAAGGCTGTAGCAGTACACTAGAAGTACACTAGAAGTACACTAGAAATACACTAGCAGTACACTAGCAGTACACTTTTAGCAGTACACTTTTAGTAGTACACTTTTAGTAGTACACTTGTAGCAGTACACTCACAGTACACGAGCAGTACACGCGCGTCGTCGTTAACTTTTTCACTAATAATTTGACGAAAAAGATAAACTAAACCATTAAAGAAATCTGAAATCAACTCAAATCAGCTGACCCATTCATTCCATCCATTTCCAGGTTCACCAAATGCGTCAAACAGCAGCCATTGTGACGGGATGATCTGTATCTCGACAATCCTAATTGCGATCTTTAGTCAATTTCTCAGCTCACTGATCGGATATTTTGGCCGCACCCTGTATATCGACTCGATGTCGACCTTGTCACTCTCTGCTGGGCTCTCTGGATCTTCCTCCGACAACAAATGCGGCTCAAGCTTTCTCCAATCAAATTCGAGCGGATCGCGTGGATTCGATTGGGATTTTACTTATAATGACCCAATATTCCCCACTATTAGCATTTTCGAATGTTGTTAAAATGAATTATTTATCCTTTTAACTAAAAGCTTTATGATCAAAAAACCTTTAATAAGCATGATTCAGAAAATCTGTATGTGAAGAATGAAGGGACTTTTTGTGCGCGCGTTGCAATCGACATTCTTGTATCTGAAAATAAAAAGATGTCAGTGGAATTGATATTTTCTGATTTACTGAAGGGCCTACTCGGAAGCGTCTTTTCTTAATGTACTCTTAATGTAATCTTTCTGGGAGTCTCTTTGGAACGGGAATGGATTTGAAATTGAAGTCCTTGGGGAATATTCATCCCGCCACATCGCGCAAACGGTTTCTTTTTGAGCGCAAACGAAGAGCGCAAACGGTTTGTTTTTTGAAGAACGAGAGATCCGAAAATAAGAGAATATTTTGGCAGAGCCGATTTTGGATGAACTATTGGCAGAGCCGCTGGCAGAAATAGCCTCTTCTCCCCTGTAAGCAGATGTCAAATAATGTATCAATCGGTAGCGATATCAAAAAAAAGATCATTCAGTCTCTTCATTTGTCACTTTCAAAATCTGCTCTCTTTACCTATTTTTCAAAATTGCTCAATTTCCCATTTTCCATTCGTGCAAGGAATGTTCCCATTCATCCTTTGAGTTCTTAATTGTAAGTCTCATTTTCTTGTAAGTTTTAATCTTTTATCTAGTTCTATCACAATAGACTACTGCACGTACCACACCCATAATCACTGAAAATCGAGGAGTTTCAGTTCAGTTCCCAGTTCCAGTTTTCACACTTTCTTCAAAAGAAATCCATTTTTCCGGTCAATAGAAAAGTTGTAGAGAATCAAAAATTAGGCTTATTGCCAAATTTCCAAAAAGATACACTTAGTAGTTTCGTTTAAAATGGAAGTTTTGTGAAAATTCGTAAATTTGGCATTTCTTGAAAACCAGTTTTTGAATCATTCTGAAAATCTGGATTTAAGCCTAATTTTTGATTCTCTACACCTTTTCCATTGACACCAAAATGGGTTTCTTTTGAAGAAAGTGCTCAAATTGTCACATATGACAATAGCCGG